CCCCGCCCAGATGAGCCCCCACTCCCCCAGGTGAGTTCCCGCCCCACCCAGGTGAGCCTCTGCCCCAACCAGTTGAGCCCCCACCTGCCTAGGTGATCCCCCGCCCAGGTGAGTCTCCTGTGCCTCCAGATGAGCCCATCTCAGCCTTGCCCTGCTGAGTCCCCACTCCCTCAGGTAAAGCCCTGCCCCCCCAGGTGAACTCACTACATTCTTCCTAGTAAGCCCACTATGCCCTGCCTGGGTGAGTTCACTTTATCTGGTCCAGATGATCCCCCACTACCGCCAGGTGAGCTCACTTCACCCTGCAAGTGAGCCCCCCCAAATCCCCCCAGATGATCCCACCACACCCTTCCTGGGTGAGCCCCTGCTCTTGTCCAGGTGAGCTCACCTCACCCTATCCAGGGGAGCCCACTACCCCCTGCCCACTTGAGGCTACCATGCACTTGTAGGTGGGGCTTGGTGGTCCCAGCGGCAGGCAGTGTCCTGGGAGCTGACCCTACCTGGTCTCTACAGAGGAAGGAGGAGGCCGGAGAGGATGAGGACCAGGAAGTGGAGCTGACTGAAGTGGACCAGTGGCCCAAGGACCAGGCCAGTGTCAGGGAGGAGGAGGCCCAGGTGAGGGCAGGATGTGGGGCCGCGCAGACTGGCACCAGCTTGAGCAGGGTGGGGGCCAGAGTGAGATTGAGCTGGAGCCAAGCGGCGTGAGTGGGGGGCTGAGCGAGGTGGGAGCCAAGCGGGGTGAGTGGGAGTGAGGTGGGAGCCAAGCGGGGTGAGTTGGGGGGCTGAGTGAAGTGGGAGCCATGTTGAGCAAGGTAGGCCTGGAACGAGGGGTCAGGTGGCATAGGAAACTGAGTTGGGTGGCACCTGGGCTGTGTGGGTTGGTGCCAGACCCAGCGAGAAGCCCAGGCGCTGGTCCTCTCCCTCCATCATGTGGTGTCCCCTCCAGGGTATAATGCCCCCCACGTCTGAGATGGAGGCTGATAACTGCATCGTGCACGACCTCACGGCTCAGAGCCCTGTCCGGCAGCGTCTGTGTAAGGACAAAGTGGGGGCCCAGGACAAGGTCCTGTTGGTGGACACCGCATTCTCAGCTGTCCTGACCACCTGCAAACCCACCAGCTCCTCAGACTGGGGCCGATGCTGCCCTCTGGTGGCCACTGCAAATGAGCTGGCTGCATTGGCTCTAGGACCCAGCTGTGGTCTTCCCCACAACTTCCAAGGCGAACAGGATCCTGAACCCCGAGACCTATGGGGGCTTCTGAGGCTACTGCCTCTTGCTTCCAAGTGAATTTGACCACTGACTTTGGGTTGGCATCCCTGGGAACAGATGGACCAGAGGCTGGAATGAGGGTGCCCTGGCAGGTGCCAGCTTTGGACCAAGGGTCCTGGCAGTACCCGCATGGGAGGGGTCAGGGGGCTGTCTCGGTGCTTGATCTTCATCCTAAGCCTGGAGTTCCACTCTGGCACGTTCCCTGTCCAGGGGAGAGGGTGACCACAGTTCACTGTGGAGTGGGGGCCAGAGCCTCCTCCCCCAGAATCAACACATGGGCTGATCCTGTGGGGAGCAGACTGTGGGGGGCCAAGAGTAGGTGTGGGGTCTCGAGGCTGACATGGTCATCCTGTCTTAACCCTCTCCAGCTCCCTCTGTCCACACAAGCTGTCTCCAGACATGCTCTTGCCCACACTATCCCACGTGGGAGGTGGGCCCGGACATCCAGACACGCCCACTGCCCCCGCCTGGTTCTGGCACGATCCCTGCCCACACTGTCCCACATGGGAGGTGGGCCCGGTAGCATGACCCCTCCCCCTGTCTTCAGTGCGTCGCAGACAGGCCAAGCGGAGAGCACCGTCCCCCCTACAAGGACTCGGCCACCTCATCATGGACCAGAGCTACGTGTGCGCCCTTATCGCCATGATGGTAAGGAGCCACCTGGCTGAACGCCTCAGGGCCGGGCCTTCCTAGACTCCTCACCGTCCAGGGATTGATTGGCAGGGGGCTGGCAAGACACAGGGGTGGTCAGGCCTGCTTGGCACACAGCTGCGTGCGTGCGTGTGTGAGAGAGAGAGTGTGTGGGGCAGAGAGAGTGTGTGTGGGGGAGAGAGAGAGTGTGTGTGTGTGTGTGTGTGTGTGTGTGTGTGTGTGTGTGTACGCGCACACGCGTGCTCGCCGACCCTCGCGTGGTTCTGCAGGTCGTGTGCACCTTCTGGTTGAAGCTCCCCGTTGTGTGTCAGGCCTGGGTGTGGTGGACAGGGTGGGCAGTGCTGACCCGCTCATGCCTGCCCACCTGCTCGGCCCAGGTGTGGAGTATCACCTACCACAGCTGGCTCACCTTCGTGCTCCTGCTCTGGGCCTGCCTCATCTGGACGGTGCGCAGCCGCCACCAGCTGGCCATGCTCTGCGCACCCTTCCTGCTGCTCTACGGCCTGGCGCTGTGTGGCCTGCGCTACGTGTGGGCCATGGACCTGCGGCCAGAGCTGCCCACGATGTTGGGCCCTGTCAGCCTACACCAGCTGGGCCTTCAGCACACTCGCTACCCCTGCCTGGACCTCGGCGCCATGGTGAGCACGCTCAGGGCTCCCCTGCGTCCAGAGTGAAGCTGCTGGAGGAGCGTGTGTGTGTGGACGTGAGCCTGTGGGCACAGACGTGAGCATGTGCATATGTGCCGCTGTCTGTGCAGACACGTGAAGCCGCACACGCGAACACCATGAGCCTCTGTGCACTTGTGATCCCAGACACACGTGTGACAATACACATGGCTACGGAAGCCTCTGCTGCTGTGAGCCTGCGTATGTGGACGCGAAGACGCAGGTGTATGTGAATTTGTGTGTAAATGTGAACCCAGGTGTGCGCACACATGAGCACACACACGTGGACCTTAGTGAAAATGTGCAGATGTCCGTGAGCCTGTGTGCAAGTGTGAAACTGCATGTATGGGAACATGGAGCCGTGTGAGCGTGTGTGTGCAGACACGGGGAGTTGGTGTGTAAATCTGTGCCGGTGTGAAAGCTACATGTAGGAGCCCATGTGTGGGTGTGACCGCGCGTGAGCCAACAAGGACTTATGTGTAAATCTGTGCTTGTGTGACTGGTGTGTGAGGCCCTGCGCTGCCTCTGCCCCCGCGGGGCCTGCTCTCAGCGTGCGCCCCATGACGCCCCACCCCCAGCTGCTCTACACCCTCACCTTCTGGCTCCTGCTGCGCCAGTTTGTCAACGAGAAGCTGCTGAGGAAGGGGCAGCCCGCGGCCGAGCTGACGGGGGTCACCGTGGCTGACGCAGGTTAGCGGCTGGCTGTGGGGTCGCTACTCAGCCCTGTGGCCCTCGCCTCCTCCCGTGTCACGGCCCTGTCCGCCCGCCCTGTGGCCCTCACCTCCTCCCGTGTCACGGCTCTGTCCACCCGCCCTGTGGCCCTCACCTCCTCCCGTGTCACTGCCCTGTCCGCCCGCCCTGGAGGCCTCACCCACCTCCCGTGTCACGGCCCTGTCCGCCCGCCCTGGTGCCCTCACCTCCTCCCGTGTCACGGCTCTGTCCGCCCGCTCTGGAGGCCTCACCCAGCCCCGGTGGTCCGCAGAACCCACACAGACGCAGACTCTGCTGCGGAGTCTAGGGGAGTTGGTCTCAGGCGTGTACGCCAAGTACTGGATCTACGTGTGTGCTGGCATGTTCATCGTGGTCAGCTTCGCCGGCCGCCTGGTGGTCTACAAGATCGTCTACATGTTCCTCTTCCTGCTCTGCCTCACCCTGTTCCAGGTGGGGGGACAGTGGCAGAGGGGGGCCGGTGGGAGGGGGTAGCTGGGGAGGAGGGACGGGGGGACCATGCAGAGGGGGCGTGGTGGAGGTGACGGTGGCTGAGGTGATAATGGTGGAGGGGAGACGGTGGTGGAGGCAGGAGAAGGGAACAGGATAGAGAAAGTGGTGCAGGGAGAGCAGTGGGCAGTCGGGCCCTAAAAGTTCACCAAGGAGGAAAGGGGCACACGGTGGGCTGGGAGGCAGGACCTGGGAGTGGACAGCGTAGGGGAGTGGTGGGTGGCAGAGCAGGTGGGGGGGGCAGAAAGGAGAGGGAGTGGGGAGGGAGAATGGGTGCCTGCCCCCGGGACCCCTGCCCCAAATGCTGTGCCCTCATGCCCCTCCCCGCCGTGTCCCCCACCCTGCAGGTCTACTACAGCCTGTGGCGGAAGCTGCTCAAGGTCTTCTGGTGGCTGGTGGTGGCCTACACCATGCTGGTGCTCACGGCCGTCTACACCTTCCAGTTCCAGGACTTCCCCGCGTACTGGCGCAACCTGACCGGCTTCACAGACGAGCAGTGCGTGGTGGGCGGCCAGGCGGGCCCAGGGTCGGGGGCACAGCTGACGGCCCCTGCCAGCAGGCTGGGCGACCTGGGTCTGGAGCAGAGTAGGGTGGTGACCGGGCAGGTGGAGGCCAAGTTCAGGGGGCACTTGGGTGTGGATCAGTTCAGTGTGGTGGGTCATAGCAGGTGGTGACTGGGTGGGTTTTGGGGGCCATGACTGGGTGGGCTGTGGGGGTTGGTGACAGGGTGGTTTTTGAGGGCCGAAGACTGGGTGGGTCGTAGTGGCCGGTGACTGGGTGGGTCGTGGGGGCCGTGACTGGGTGGGTTGTGGGAGACATGACTGGGTGGGTCGTAGCGGCCGGTGACTGGGTGGGTTGTGGGGCCAGTGCTGACGCCCCCCCGCCCCCACCCGCCTGCAGGCTGGGCGACCTGGGTCTGGAGCAGTTCAGCGTGTCAGAGCTCTTCTCCAGCATTCTCATCCCCGGCTTCTTCCTGCTTGCCTGCATCCTGCAGCTGCACTACTTCCACCGGCCCTTCATGGAGCTCACCGACTTGGAGCACGTGCCCCTGCCAGGGAGCCACCCCTCCCGCCGGGCCTGCAGGTGCCCACTCCCTCCCACCCCATCGAGCTGGGCCCCATCCCGGAGGAAGGTCCCTTGCATTCAGGAAGGATGATGATGCCAATGGCAGGACACTGTCCATTTCTGAGGACCATGTGTTCTCTTGAGCCCCTGGGGGCTGGACACCCCAGGAAGTCCAGAGTACCAGCGACCCCAGCATGGTGGGGCAGGCGAGGGAGATGCTGGGGGCGGGGGCGGGCCTGCCCAGGAGCCAGCAGGCATGGACTCTCAGGCTCTTGTAGGCAGGACATGGTGATCGGTGCCACACTGCTGCAGCAGGACACCCTGGGGACCCCTGAGGATAAGGCTGTCCCTGGCCAGGCCAAGCAGGGCCTGGAAGGTGAGCGCAGCAGGTGGGCCAGAGAGTGGCGGCCAGGGGCTGGAGGAGTCTCGGTGGGCCAGCTGTTCACAGCCCGTCCTCCCCCTGCAGCCTCGACCAACAAGTGGGGCCTGGTGGCTGAGCGGCTGCTGGAACTGGCGGCCCGCTTCTCGGCCGTGCGCGCCCGTGTGCAGGTCTTCGTCCGGCGCCTCCTCGAGCTGCATACCTTCAAGCTGGTGGCCCTGTACACGGTTTGGGTGGCTCTGAAGGAGGTGTGCGGCGGGCAGCCCTCTGGGAAGCGGGGCCACTTGTGATTTCCCCCCACCGCTGGCTCACCTCTGCCTGCCACCTCCAGGTGTCAGTGATGAACTTCCTGCTGGTGGTGCTATGGGCCTTCGCCCTGCCCTACCCCCGCTTCCGGCCCATGGCCTCCTGTCTGTCCACTGTGTGGACCTGCGTCATCATCGTGTGCAAGATGCTCTACCAGCTGACAATCGTCAACCCCCACGAGTACTCCAGCAACTGTACTGAGGTACCGCCCCACCCCCAGGCTGTGGGGGAAACTGGAAGACTGCCTGGAGGAGGCCGTATTTTCCCTGTGTCCAGGTGTCTCGTGAGCACTTCTCAGCCTAGAGACATGCAGGTCCTGGTGTGAGGGGCAAAGACTGATGGGACAGCCCTGCCAAGACTCTGTCTGTCCCCCCATACCCTCCACCCCAGTCCCCTTCTGAGAGGTGATTCCATATTAATGTCCCCTCACATCTCCAGCAGCCCTTCCTGGGCCCAGAGGTGGGTGTGTGGGACCAGGGCGTGATGCAGGGCTGGGCCGGCTGGCCTGTCCCTCGCCCGCCTGGACACCAGACTAGGGTGGGCTGTGACACCTGCCCTCCCCGGCAGCCCCTCCTCAACAGCACCAACCTTCAGAAGACAGAGGTCAACCAGTCCCTCCTGTACCGGGGGCCTGTGGACCCCGCCAACTGGTTTGGGGTGAGGAAGGGCTTCCCCAACCTGGGCTACATCCAGGTGAGTAGGCAGGGGGGAGCCCAAGAAGTGAGGGGGCTGGTGGGACAAGCAGGGAGGTACTAGGAGTTGGGCGGGTTGACGGTAGTGGGACAAGCAGGGAGGAATCTGAGGGGTGGCATGGCAGGGGAGGAGGTTAGAAGGCGCTAGTGGGACAAGCAGGGTGAAGTCCAAGGGGTGAGCGAGGAGGATGAAGTGGGCAGAGGGACTGCAGGGTGTCGGGGCTGCTGGGAAGGGGCCACGGAGGCCTGGCGTGCATGGGGGGACGGGCCTTGGGCCCTGTGGGGCTGGCTCGGAGCAGGCCCCCATTGTGCCCGCCCCCCAGAACCACTTGCAGGTTCTGCTGCTGCTGGTGTTCGAGGCCATCGTGTACCGACGGCAGGAGCACTACCGGCGCCAGTACCAGCTGGACCCACTGCCCGCCCAGGCTGTCTGTGTGGATGGCACACGCCATCGGCTCGACGCAGACCTGCTCAGCTGCCTCAAGTACTTCGTCAACTTCTTCTTCTACAAATTTGGGCTGGAGGTGAGGCCCCTGGCATCAGGCCCTCCCTGAGGCGGCTGCCTGTCCACTCTGGGGTGTCCACCTAGCCACACCTGAGGGCCTTGTGAGGAGCAGGAGCGGATGGCAGCTGGCTGTGATGTGAGGGCATCACTGGTCCCTGCTGTGTCCAGGTTGGGCTCGTCCAGCTCCTGCAGGTGGCCTGGGGCACGGGTGGCCATGCATCCGAGTGGCCTGCAGCTGAGCTCCTGGGCCTGTTAGAGGAAGGAGGGCGCGGCTGAGGCCGGTGTGGACGGGGCGGAGGGCCCAGGGGAGGCTGGCATGGACGGGGCGGAGGGCCCAGCTGAGGCCGCCGTGGACGTGGACGGGATGGAGGGCCCAGTTGAGGCCGGCATCCACGGGGGCAGAGGGCCCAGGGGAGGACGGCATGGACAGGGTGGAGGGCCCAGCTGAGGCCAGCGTGGACTGAGTGCCAAGGATGGGCAGGCTGAGGACGTGATTGGGCAGGGTGGGTGAGGGTGGGAGACCTGTCACAAACAGTAAGTGGGCTCTGGTAACTCTCCTTGAGCCTTGTATCCCTCTGGCGGAAGAGGCCAGAGGGTCCCGTCCTGGCGGCAGGGGCCTCGAGCCTTCAGTGTTTCCTGCCCAGGACCTGGGACCTGCTGGCCTCTGGATGAGAGTGATGTCTGCCCCGCTCCTAGATCTGCTTCCTGATGGCCGTGAACGTGATTGGTCAGCGCATGAACTTCATGGTCATCATGCACGGCTGCTGGCTGGTGGCCATCCTTACCCGCCGGCGCCGTAGGGCCATCGCCTGCCTCTGGCCCAACTACTGTCTCTTCCTCGCTCTCTTCCTCCTCTACCAGTACTTGCTGTGCCTGGGTATCCCGCCTGCCCTGTGCCTGGGTGAGGAGTGGGGCGGGTGTGCCACCGTGTGAGCGCGAGGGCTCAGTGCCTGCCCTGGGCCCAGAGGACTTGAATGTGCTGGGTGGGGGCCTAGCGCCTGAGCGCCCACCCTGAGCCTAAGAGAGCAGTGAGTGGGGACTTGTGTAGTGGGTATGGGGGCTGAGCGGTGTCCTGAGCCTAAACCTGGTTCTGGAGGCCATTGCAGGCCCTTGTGAGCACAGCCGGGGTCCCGGCCTGCCTGGCCCTCTCACCGCACCTCTCGGCCCACAGACTACCCTTGGCGCTGGAGCCAGGCCATTCCTATGAACTCTGCTCTCATCAAGTGGCTGTACTTGCCTGACTTCTTCAGGGCACCCAACTCCACCAACCTCATCAGTGAGTGCCCCCCCCCGGATGGGTTCTGCTGTGTGAGGAGGGCCCCCCAGCAGTGAGCTCCTGGGCAGAGTGTGTGTCCACCAGGAGTGTGAAGATAGGCTCTGGTCACTGTGTGCAAGCTGTGCTTCCGAGGTGAGGTGTCCATGTGATGACCACCACTTGGACACAGCCTGGGGACAGCAGGATGCAGCCACACGCAGCCACAGACACACGTACATGTGAGGATGTAGACAGGGCACATAAGCTGGCACAGATGTGCGCACACGTGTGAGTGCCAAGATCTAGATCATGCGCGCACACACAGATATGCACGCACACAGAGACATGCACGCACACGCAGACACGCACACACACGCAGACATGCACACACACAGGGAGACATGCACGCACACACA